AATTTTTCATGAAGCAATCTGTGTGTATGTCATGGGCATACGATATGCAGAAGGCTGTACAAAATATCAAGCATTTGAGACATCTCAATGACACGACCTGGTGCCGTATCAAATGCAATGATTATTATTATTGTATCCGGTTTTATTCAGAGCGTTTGGTGAATGTGGAAACAAAATTGAAATATAGCTGAAAACAGTAAGTGGTGGAAGTGCACAGCTCATGCGTCAGCCCCTGAAGGAAAATGATGGGTTGACGTTTTTTGGGTTATGACTCCTTCATTAGTACTGGAACTTCTCCAAACCAGTCGGTTTTGCTTTGATCATAACTATACATTTCCCAGCATTTATGTTTTATTTTTTAAACTTTTTCTTTAGCCTGCAGATACAAACATCTAACATCTAGTTAGACAAAGCTGTTTGAGATATATACTATATATATATATATATATTAGCCAAAGGCTTCCATTTTCAACAACAACTTGCATTTGTATAGCATCCTTCATGTAGGATAGTATCTCAGAGTGCTGTACAGTGATGGGATTGGATGGCTAGCATGGGAGAAGGGGAGGTGACCGTACCTACAGTCTTAAGACATTTTCAAACCTTTGAGAAAGCAATCTTCGCTTATGTAAATTAGCCATAATTGTGTGTTTGGTATAAGCCACAAATTCACTATGCTGAGCATTTAAAATATACTTAATTCAGGATCTAGCCACAGCTGTTCTTGTGGCTGTTATCAGCTGTTATTAGTAGTTATCAGATTCTAATAACCGGTACCTTCAGCAAAACAGAATTACTGTGGAGTTACTTGTTCTGTGGCTGCTGAATATTCCTTGAGCAGATATGTTTACTTTCCTACTTGACTGATGTACCTTCCCTCTGTATTACACTTGGGCATTAAGCGCTGGCTGATTCTTCCTGAATTTTCAATGGGTATGAAAAATGCCGGTGGCAATTTTTTTTAGCATTGTTGTTAATTTAAAAGTTATTGACATGACATGGCTCTGAGGGGGGTGGGGGCCTGACACTGTAGATTAACACACAGGTCCTCACATAAATTCTAAATAAATTGCTTGTTTGAGCCATACAGCCACACAGCTTGAGTATCTAACAAATCAGGAAAGGTAACGTGTGTTCTAAATATTCTGGCCTCAGGCCTTAGCTCTTTCACATGTGTTTCCCTGAGTTTTTCCACAAAGAAGCTTTTCAACCATTTTCTCTTGCGTAATGTGCATCTAGGCTGAGAATCACTTTCTGCTGTTTGCTCTTCATTCAGCTCAGCTAGGTGCTTCTAATTATATTCATTTTGACCGATTTACATCATTAAATTGCATGTGAAGTTATTTTCCAGTTCACCTTCTGTGTTTGTATGGCAAATCACCCAACGTGAACAATGCAGGTTTCTTATAGCAGTCACACCAACACAAACGCATTCAATTGTAGCCAGATAGAATGGGGGGATAATGCAATCTTGGAGCTAATGTCTCAAGACTAGTTTGCTCTGTCAACGTAACATGACCATTACACTTGGCAGACAAGCACCATGCTGTAAATTAAAACATTCCAGTTATTGCCTGTCACAGCATAGTGCTTGACTATGTGAGCGTCCCCATAAGTTACTGCTCGAGCACTCAACAACAACAACTTGCATTTATATAGTGCCCTTCACGTAGGATAACATCTCCGAACACTTAATTTATCGAGCGCACTCCGCGAGTACAACTGAGCTACTCTCCTCTCTAGTTTCTCTTGAGTATGACTGAGGTCAATGCTTTGTAAAACTCCTTAGCTCTGAAGGCTATATACGTGCCGTCTCGGAAGCCGTTTTGCTTGGGTGTTCGATATTGCTCTAATATACCAATAACTGTTGGATAAATCTTATGATTTAAATTCTCTCTGAGTAACACTGATGTTATACCCCATCACTAGGGGTCACTTAAAGTAATAATGTTTAGTGTATGAGGAAGGAGAATTGTAAGACAGTATCATCAAGGGAAAGAGGAAATTGTCAGTAAGTGAGAAGGTGTTGAATGGAAATGCCGAATAAACCTTTGACTACTAGAGGATATAGACGAGAGGAAAGGATGAAGGTTATTAGACCGCTTTGTGTTTGCTTTCCTTTGCCAATTTGAGGGCTCTTGAAATTTCAAGTGTAAATTGCTTTGTTATCCAGAAGTCTGGGATCTTGTCTTTTCAGGATAGAAAAGATGTTGGGAGATTGTAACTGAATACTGATGAGTTTATCTATCTTTAAACTTTATTTACGGGTATCTTTTAATCCCATCTGAAGACTTACTTCTTCGTCTGGTACCAACTGTCACCTCCCCCTCTCCTTCTCCCTTGCTCGGCATCCACTGTGCAACGCTCAAAGTCAGTATCCTGCATATAAATGCAGGTTGTTGTTATGGTTGTTGTAACAGATGTAAATATCATTGTACAAGTGGGGAAGAATGTTCTTAATAACAATAGTAAAACAGGAGTACCTTAGTTGTATTTTTAAAACGTGGTCCTTTTTTATGTGCACCAGTTATATGTATGCACCTTAAGCTGTTCAGGTTAATTATTTATCGTCTGTTTTGCCGAAGCTGTTATTCCTTCCCCGGAGATCTCTTCTTTAAGTAATAACAATTGTTCCAATAAAAATCATTAAATCCCCCACTTATCTTGATGGCCTCTCAATTACCATTTTATCTGGAATAAAACAGAAGGAAGGACAAGGGAGAGAGATGAAGGCAGAGTGAGAAAGGGTGATAAGAAAACCTGAAATCAATCCTTTCTTGTATCTCTGATTCAATCCTGTTGTTGGCCAAGATGAATGTTTTTTTTAAACTGGTGTGAGATTTAAGAGCTGTCCCTAAACTAGATGAGGTTGTAATGATTATTCTGGGTTACTAAATCAGGTGCTGTTATAACATCCTATTCAGCTGTAATGTTTTAATCAGTGCTGGCAGCCTCACGTACACAGGAGTGAAATATGCTGTTTTTGAATTACAGAACCAGAGCCGAGTTGTTTTTTGTAACCTCAGTGAAGTGAATGTATTCTGAAGTAAGGATTCATAATTCACCCTGCCAAGCAATTTCTAAAGGTATTCATTTAAGTGTCAGCCTGGCTCAGTTTTTAGCACTCTTGCCTCTGAGTCAGAAGATTATGGATTCAAGCCACACAGCAGAGCTTTGAATTATAATAATTATAATCCTTGCATTTGATATAAGGCCTTATCATGTAATTTAGACGTCTCAAAGCGCTTCATAGAATATATTGTAAAGTGTGCATTGTAAAGACTGCGTACTTTGTGGAATTCATAGTTAAGGCTGACAGTGCAGTATAGTGCTAGGGGAGCACTACATTGTTGCATGTGTCGTCCTTCAGATGAGATGTTAAACTGAGGTCCCATCTGCCTGTTCAGGTGGACAGTTAAGATCCCAAGGAATAATTTGAAAAGAAATTGCAGTTTCTCCCAGTGTCCTGATCAAAATTGGTCATTCACTTTATGGTTGTTTGTGTCTGGGCAAATTTGCTACTGTATTTGCATACAAAATACACACAGTCACTGCACTTTGCATTGGATTCTGTGAAGCACGTTGAGACAGTTCAATAACTTGATGAGCTGTTATATTAAAAGCAAGGATTATTATTATTGATCTAACCTTTGAATTACATAATTGTAAATGAATACCAGGTACAGATGAAAAGCAAGACAGTGAATGTTAGATATCTGAAATTAAACAAATATTTTGAAATGGCTGTTGAAGCCGATTCCATGGTAACTGGCTAAATACTTGAGCAAAATTAATACTATTAAAGGATACAAGGAAATAGCAGTGGGAACAGAATTTGAGTAGATGGCTCCAGTGGAGGAGTGAGCACCAAGGCAGAGAGGATGGGTGGAACAGCCTCCCTTGCCTTAAACTATGAAACGTCCAGAAAGGTTAGCAAACTTATCTTTCCCATTCAGCTGCTGATTGACCCGCTGTGCATATGAAGTGTCTGGAATGCATTGTAGAGGGAATTAGCTTTGGGGGATCACTTTCAGTGTTAAGCAGAAACAGTCTTATGTGTCTCACTGGATTTCTTTCAAATCCATTCCTGCCTTTGAAGAGTAAATCTCCATTAAATGGCTCCTCAATAGAAACCCTTAAGACTGGCATTTTGTAAAGGTGCAAACCTTAAGTTGACATGAGGGAAAGGGATCCCAGGAAGTCTCTGCTCTGAGCCATCCAGATTTGTTCAGTCTAAGATTATAGATTTATCTGGAGAAGTTTTTCCAGGGGAATTTCTCTCTGTACGCTATTTTCTGCGTCATTTTATTTGGACTTGATAGACTTTGGATTCATTGACTACGAATTCTGTAATCGAAATTTTTCAAATTAAAGTTTACAATTTATACAAGAATTCCGGCTGGCGAATCTCGCCTTGTGACAACCATTCTACAAACTTATAGTCATGAGGAAAAGCCGATGAATGGGCTACAGTCTATCCTTAATCCTCTTACAGTGTCAGCATGAATTCTTGTTTGACAGATTTGCTTGTTTTCTTTTCCTTATTTGGAATAAAAGGCTCAAACGGTGGACAGATTCTGGAGTATTATGGTAGTGGAAATCCGTAAAATAGAAATGGCTCCAAATGGAAACAGTTGAAGGAGATCAACTCGCAGGCATAAAATATTCGTTAACTGATTTATTTAGCTGAGGATGAAGTAGCAGGAAATCCGTATGAGTAGCTTAGCAATGAATGGGACCTAAATGTAACAGGAGCTGGTGGCAGCAGAGGCATTGTGTGGGAGTGGATCAGCTGTCACTGCTTTACACCCGGCATTTGATATAATTTAGGTTTTGGATGGATATGAGTTTGCTTTCAATACTGATGTATGCAGTGCCTATGTGGTCTTTGTATTGGGAGATCAACAAAGCGTATGAATGAGGTATGTGGACAACACTTTTTCAAGACTATAATTTGATATTCCGCATTCACTAAGACGATTGATTTTTTTCTTTTTCAGATATCAATATGGCTGGTGAACCCAAGCCTTACAGGCCAAAATCTGGAACCAAAAGACCATTGTGTGCCCTGTATGGGTAAGTATCATCATTGCCAAGTCATTCCAATCAATATATTCTGAGAGATTTTTATTCATAGCGTATTGTAAAGATGCTGTTCACCAAGTTCTTATCATTGAAAATCGTACTTAGATTGCCCTAGGTTTGTTCAAAAGTACATTTCATATAAATACGTCTTCCATCAAAGCTGTCAGCATGAATGTGAAATTCACGCACAGGAAATAACTAGTTATTTTTGTCCCATCTCTGGTAATAACGAAATTAAATCGACTTCTTATCAAAGATATCTGTTGTCATAATTAAAGGATACATTTTTAAAATGCAGTTCTTTTAGGGTTTTATTTTTATTTGTGGTATAATAATAATAATCCTTCCACTTGATATAGCATCTTTCATGTTAGGAGGAAATCTCAAAGCGCTTCCCGGTATTTACTTTGAACTGTAGTGACTGTGTATTTTCCAGGATAATCATTCTTCTTTCCAAGCTGAAAACACAGTGGTCTGAGTCCATTAGCTCACACTGCTGTGTCACTCCCTTCACAAAGTAATGTCAGCTTCCAGCATAATATCAACAACAACAACAAATTACATTTGTATAGCGCCTTTCACATCAGGAGGACATCCCAAGGTGCTGGATGGTCAGGGATTTGAACCCGAGCAGGGGGTTGGGTTCAGGAGGGATGGAGGGCAGGGAGGACGGGGTAGGAGGTTTCCGAACTGACTCAGTGAGGTGGAGTATGCATCCATGTACAGTGTGCAGAACCTGATGTTAGTGACTTGATGACCCAGAAGTTGGACATTTTTAAATGGAAAGCCCAGTTTATCGCTCAAGCAAATATGCATCTTTTTTCTGTGTACATTTGATTTATCATGCGTTTAAGATATGTCATCATTTATAATATGGCAGATTTTGAGTTTCTTTTTGTAATGTTTGGGTGTTTATCCTTTCCTTCAATGATTTCTGCTGTTTATTTCAGCATTTTTGTGTAGCACATCTGTAACCTGCAGAACTGACTCAACATACGGACTTAACTTCATCTCATTTATTTATGCACAGTACAAACATTACTGCTGTGATCACACTGACGTGTGTGTAAACTTTGTGAGTTGGAGACTGAAATTGATTGGTTTCCACCTATATATGGGAAAGAACTTTGTATCCTAGGACAAGATTGCAATTGGTGACGCTAAACGACAAGAAGGTTGAAAACACGGTATTTGCAAACCCCAAGTCACTGCGCTAATTCTGACTTCCGGATTGCGATTGAAATTGCAATACATTGAAAACCGGAAGGCTGCACAGACATTGCATGGCTGACCTTTTGGCTTTGAAACCTTACGTCAGACATTTTGAGTCGTTTCTCAGCTGAGAAATGTCCCGAAAGCAAAGTACTGGCCACATTCAAACCAAGAGTTTACATAGACTTTTTTTTGCATTTTCATTGACTTTCCCATTTAATAATAATAATAATAATTTGATATTTGATATAGATTCTTATCATGTTGTCAAGTCTTCTCCAAACGCTTCACAGGATATACTGTAAAGTGGATTGACTGTATTTTGTGAGCGAAACGCTCACAGATTTCAGTGACACTGCACAGGTTTCTCATTGTGCTAAACCCAGAGCAGCAACCACACAATTACGTACAATGTACGTTGAGCTCAGGATCGGTGTGAAATCATAGGCATAGATCTGTGGTGCAGCATGTTATAGAATTCCTGACCATGATCCTTGAGAAAGACATCTGTGAGAATCGCTCCCTTCAACAAAAGATTAGTGAGTAACATTGAGCGGTACAACTTCTTAGCATTTGATGTACTAATGATGAGCACAATCACATTATTTAACAATAAACCACTGCATTCACTGACGTTTTTTCTCCCATTCCCCCCATTTTGAGTATTTTGAAGTGAGGATTTGTATACTTTACACTGTAACCTCTGGAACGGTTTATAATTTTTTTTCTTTAATATTTATCTTCCAGACTTGAAGTGCCAAAGAGTGGTTAAATTCACGCTCTGCCCCAAGAGATTAAAAAATTTCCCTCAAGCCCGAGGCTTTGGCCATCCGGTCGGGTAAAGAAAAATTGTCTGGGGAGAACATGTTTTTTACTGCTCTTCAGCAGATCAATCCAAGAGCATAACTATCAAACAAAAACATTAGAAGCTGCTTCAGTCGCTATAATATAAAATACAAAAATGTTCGCTTCAAAATAAAAAAGTTGTCAATTCTAATTTGAAAGATGAGCAACCCAGGGCCATTTATAGTATTAAACAGCAAACAGTCTCAAGTTCTGAACTTGTGATAATTAGCAGTGGGAACAGTTAACCATATTGAGCACTTCAAAAGTTGCACATTTACGCCCATTGTTTTAAAATTCACAGTGAGGGTAATTGAATCGACACCTCGAGTACACTCTGTTAAAAGCTGAAACATTAGTTTTGCATATGTACAATTAACATGGTTGATTAACCAACCGTTATCCTATCAAAAAGGTGTGTGAAAAAAACTAGAATAGCAGGAGCACTGTGAGTCTGAACGTCATATAAGTCAGTTGTGACAAGGGCAAAATAAGCAGTAAATCCACTTTGAAAGCTGCTCAATGTTCATTAACATTGTTAGAGACTTGAAAGACTCTTTACTGCTGTGGACAATTTATGTTCATGTGCAATGCTGCTGGTACCAGTATTTGCCCAAAGTCTTTGTAGTCCTTTGAAGAATTGGGAATATTAGCATTTCCTTGCTCTTCAGCCGTTATGGTGTGATTATGGGCAGAACTTTCATGTCGAAAAGAATTGCCTTTACTTTGATAACTTAGCAAAATTATGCATGTCATGATCCAAAATAAAGGTTCTTCCTTCAGGAAGATACATAGTCTGTGTAAATATTGTGACAGCCAAACAAACAAATCAAATTGTGACCTTTCAGTCTATCGGCAGTAACCTACTCATAATAATCTTCACTCATACATGCACGTAATCCAAAGTCTCTTTCTAGTGATTTCCATTTGTCAAATTGGTTTTAGAAAACCGTTCAGTAACTCTTAAGATAAGAGAGTCTCATTATTCTAGTGGAATTTACTGTTCCAAGAGTTTGTTGCTTCTTGTAATGGTGAAAGAATTGCCTTTAATCTACTGCTGAGTGACTACAAAAAATACAAGGATATGACCAAACCCCTAACAACATATAGATTTCACAGCTGGATTCTTGCACTTAGATTCTATTCTTTTCTTTATGTGTCCCAATTGTGCTTTTCAGATACAAGAAAATGAATTAATCAAAAGATATATGAATCCACAAAATGTCAGTCTGTTCCCTTGGAATAAACTACTCTCAGATTAACAAAATACTGTGTGCAGAAACCCAACTTTTATTAAAGGAAGTTTTTGTCTTTATGAAAAGTTGTTCAGTATATAACAACAACAACAAGATTCCATTTATTGAGCGCCTTTCACATGGAGGACGTCCCAAGGCGCTGTACAGTTGGGTCAGGACCCGAGCAGAGGGGAAATGGTCAGGGTGAGGGGAGGGAAGGGAGGGAGCGAGGAGGGGGTAGAGAGTCGAGCGGGGAGCTGAAGGCACGGTCAAAGAGAAAGGTCTTGAGACCGGCCTTGAAGGAGGAAAGGGAGGAAGCGGCGAAGGCACTGGGGGATAGAGTTCCAGAGCCGTAACCTGTGTTACGGCTCTGTGGATTTTATTCCTTGCATCAATTCAATATGTCCATACCCTCTTTCTCCTGCTTAACAAAATTTTTCTCCATTATCTTTCTGGTATCAATGCTGTGAGCTTCATTAAAATGGCCGATTGGACTTGACCTGTTTAGAAATAAATGACCAGATTCAGAAAGAAAGAGAAAAAACACTCAAATTGTTATGTTCCCCATTAAGGGACAGAATAAACAAAGGGAATAGTCAGTTCTATTTTACTTCATAAGTGCTTTACTTCATTGGAACATCAAAAAAATTAAAATAAACCAATAAATTATTACTTTTTCTATTGATCCAGATAGAGCATCATTTTCAATTGAAACCTGTCTTTGCATAATTTGTTTTAGATTGTGCATCCATTTAAGATGTTTAAGGAGCTCAAATTCAATGCTTTATTATTTGCTCATAAGAAAATTGTTAGCGTGGCGCTCTTGTAAATTATATTATAGCAGACGTTGCCATGGTTATAGGGTTATGTTTAACACTGCAAAATAAATTTTATAATTGCAAAATTATTTGACCAGTTTCATAGGAATGTTAAATATTATGAAAAAAGAAAATAAAAGACCATTTGGCCCATCAAGTCACTTTCCAGTAGTCCATGCTTTATTTATTCTGTAACGGATTTGCTCTAAATTACCTAATCTTTTCAGCTCGTGTACAGATTGGATTAACACCTACAGATTCACAACTGAAAAAGAAAAAATCCAGAATAACAATAAATTATTCAACACTTACCTGCTGCACAGCATTCCCAGTGTTCCATACTGTTTGATGTATGTCTCTGTATGTAGTCCTATAACTTTAATCCCTTTTCATTTAGCTCACTTTTAAAAGTGTTAGTGGACTTTGTATTACAATATATCCTGTGAAAGGCTTTTTTCACTCTTTTCGTGGAGTCCTGTAGCTCAGTGGTTAGAGCACTCGCTTTGCAAGTGAGAGACCTGAGTTCAATTCCAGGCAGGTCGAAACCTTGGGCAAGTTTCCTTACTCCACACGCCTAATAATAATCCCTCCAAAAAACCAAAAACAATAATTAAATTGGTCATTTTCAATCTACGACTGTTTGTGGGACACTGCTGTGCGCAATTGGCTGCCGCGTTCGCCCACAAATATACAGTCAATTCACTTTACAGTGTGTTCTGTGAAGCGCTTTGGGACGTCCTCCTGACGTGAAAAGCGCTATATCAAATGCAAGGATTATTATTATTATTATTACTTATATTTGATGGTAGTCTATTTGTGTGTGTGTGTGTATGTGTGTACATGGAGAATGTGATGGTTGTGTGTCTATGTGTGTTGAGTGTAT